ATTAAATGGAAATTCTTGAAGTAATTTCAAATAACATTTTCTTTTACAAAAACTTTCATTATGACTTCTTTAATGAATAATTAGAAAATACTAGCCAATCACAGAGCAGTAAAGTAATCAAGTAAACCAATTAAGTCACGACAATAGCATTGAAATATAATGCATATATAAATATATGCTGCTGATTGAATATGAACAAATTCAAGCTATATGTAATAAAGAAAATCTTAAACATAACAAATATTTTTTTATAGAAAAAATTCAAGAACAATGAATAAATTATTTATTCTAATTAATTGTTATTTCCATCAAATTTTTTTAATTCATGTTGCTTGAATTTGTTCGTGCTTAGTCAAAGACATACTCAACGCTATTATCGAAAGTTGAGTAATTTATGTGCTTCGTAATTGACATTATAATATTTTTTTAATAACTTATTAATAAAATGTAATGAAAATTTTTACAAAAAAAAATGTTGCTTGAAATTATTTCAAGAAACTTTAGTAATTAGTGTTTTCATATTTTTAGGATATCTGTATATATATACAAATTTTAAAATGAATACTTATAATTCTTATTCATTAACATAAAATGAAAAAAATAATTATTTTATATCACTTTTTCCTGCTTCAATTTAATATAAACTAATAAAAAAAATTAAACAAATTTTTTATGTATTTATTTTATATTTTATTTTTAATTAAAAATTAATATCTTATAATTAAATTATAATTAAAAGTGAAATATACATATATTTTGTTACTTATTGTAACTGATATTAATTCGTTTAAGATTGGATATATTGGATAAATATTGGATTTCTGCTTCGTCATTAAGGTTTCTTAACAATATATGTTAACAATATATGTTAAAGAAAATATATAAATTACACTAGAAATAGTGGAGATAAATATAAAACATGTTGGAATTAAAATGGTTTTTAGTTTTAGCATTTCAAATGCTTATAATAACAAATATAGAAGGTTCCATAGGTGATAAGTCTCAATTTTACAATTTATGTTTTGAAAAATGTCTTGATAGTAATTGTGATAGAGGTATGTATATAATATATCTAGATTATAATAAATTAAAAAATGTTTGTTCTAATAAAATTATTATATAAACTTATATTTTTTTAATTCTATAATTAAAATAATAAAAAAAAATTTTTAACAACTTATAGTTTATTATATGTAATTATATAATATTTATTAATTATTAACTTATTATTTTACAGATAAAAAATTTAAAGAATTACCTTCTTTATCATTAAGATTATTATTTTGGTCTTGTACAGAAGATTGTAGTTATAAATGCACTTGGAAGACAGTTGATTATTTTATATCTCATGGTTTAAAAATTCCTCAATTTCATGGAAAGGTATATTGAATATCTATTGCTAATTTGATAAGAGATTAAATAATAATAAAAATGATAATAAAAAAACAAAAAAAATAGACATTTCTTTTTTTAATTTTTCATAAGATATAATAGTGTAAAACAAAAATTCTTTCTTTCTTTAAAATTTTTCAAAATTTCTTAAAGATTATTTCTTCTTTTTATTATTATTATTTTTAATAAAAAATTATACTTTTATTTTATAATATAATAAAAAAAACAATGAAAAATGATTCAAAATAAATATTTGCAAATAATTTAACATAATATGATAATTTTGACATGATATGGTTGAAAGACTAATAAATAAAGTTTAAAACTAATAAAGTTTTTTATTCTATTACTCTGTTTATGTTTAAATGATCATTTTAGCTTTTATATACTATTGTATTTTGAAAACAATTTTTTTTTAATAAAGGAAAAACATTTATTTCAATGAAAGAAATCATTTATTTTGAATTAATGTACAATATTCAAATTAATGTATAGATGATTATTTCTATTAATGCAAGATTTTTGTTAATTAATTAGAATAAATTAGAATAATTAGAATTATTATAATAGTCAATTATATTATAATTATATTCCAATTTCTGAAAAAATTGTTAATTTTGTTTGATCAAAATGTTTTGAAAGAAAAGACAATAATAATTACTTATGAACTTGCTAATTATTACAAATAATGATTCAAATTTTTTATTTTAGTGGCCATTTATTCGTCTTTTTGGTTGTCAAGAACCTGCTTCTGTTATATTTTCTATATTAAATTTTTATGCTCATATTACTATGTATTGGAAATTTAAAAAAAAATATGGATCAACTTATCCTATGTTTTATATATGGACTTATTTCAGTCTGGTAAATATATAATTATTATATATAAAAATATGATTTTATTATGATTAAATAAATTTCTAATATTTTATAAATATTGTCTTTTATATAAATATAAAAAATTTAATTATATATAGGTATGCATGCATGCTTGGTTTTGGTCATTTATTTTTCATGCAAGAGACATTCCATTTACAGAAGTAATGGATTATTCCTCTGCTTTTATTATGGTTCTTACATTATTATATTGTATGTTATTAAGGTATGCTAATTAGAATATAATATTAATAAAAAAATTTAAGAAATATTTATTATTGTGAACATTTTAGGATAACTTATAAAAATAATAAGTTTTTTGCTGTGATTACATGTGGATATCTTAGTACTTTATATTCACATTTATCTCATTTATGGTCTGGTTATATTAATTATGACTATAACATGAAATTTAATATAGTTATAGGTAATTAATAAAATATTTATTTTTTATTTTATTAATAAACTTTTTTAATTAAATTATTAAATATATTACAGGATTTTTAACATTTGTTATAACAATGACATGGTGGCATCGTAATCAAAAAAAATTATCTTATATATATTTGATTGGTTGGTTCAATATATTAACAGTTTTTGTTACTATATTAGAAATAGCAGATTTTGCACCCATTTTTTGGATTTTTGATGCTCACTCTTTATGGCATGCAAGTACAGTCCCACTTACAATATTATTATATAAGTAAGTATAATTTAATAAATATCATTTAATTAATATTAACATATATTAATAATATTATATTTATATGTATCATTCTTAGAAAATTAATTTTGTATAAAATTTATAGATTCATGATGGCAGATTGTTCTTATTTGAGTATATACTATAGTAAATTGACATTAAATATTGATTATCATATACATTAATATTTAATAATATATTTTTAATGAAATAATGAAATATAATGTGAAATATAATTAAAAATAATAATAATTATTATTATTTTACAAAATATTAAATATTATTTTAAAAATATTTTTTATTGATTTGTAATGTAAATATTTAATTTATATGTTTTTAGAATCATATTCCTTGTTGTAAAAAATTTGGTTTATAAAGTTGATTGTAAGTATTTTATATTAAATGATATTTATAAAACAAAAATATATTTTTTTTATATTAATATATTAATTTACGAATTATATCTAATTATTTTATTGCAGAAATTATTACGTAATAAAAAATTTAATATAAAGATATAAATAATGAATCATTATTATAATCATTACTTTATTATAATGATATAAAAATTATAATAAAGTCTGAAATATTGATTAAATATAATAAATTTCTAATAGTATTTTTTGGATTAGCAATTAAATTTAAGTATATTTCTTTATTTTATTTCATTATCATGATCATAATCATTTTAATATAATGTAGTTCATTGAATTTATTAATGCATAAAAATATATAAATACTTTAAAGAATGCGCTATAACATGAAAATGTACACTTAGTCAATAATTTTTAAATATTTCTAATTATATTAAGAATTAATAATATATATCTTAATATGTTGTATGTTATGTATAATAAGATAATAATATTTTGTTATATATAATAACATATAGTATACATATAATATAAATTATATGTATAAATAATATGTATATGATAAAAAAATGATAAAAAAAAAATTTAATGATTAAGATTATGATGAATATTTTGTATAATATTATAAAAAAAAATTTTCACTATTATAAGAGAAAAATATAAAAATTTGTTTATTAAAAAAGATATTAAGCATTTTATTTCTAATTTTAATACAATATAAATATCAATTTAATTCATATCAATTTAATAATAAAATGAAATATAAAACAATAAAATAAGTAACTAAAAAAACTATAATGCTTACATATATTTAAATTTTAAATCATAGTGAAAAAACAATTTAAGACTTTATTTTTTTATTTGCTTTACATTTTATAATTAAATAAATTTATATTTTATGACTTACATTTGTTCTATGTTAAAAAATTGATGGCAAGTTTGCATTAATTATGAAATCTTTCTACGATTTCTAACTTTTTAATAAAAAAGGAACTATATAACATTTTTTTAATATGAAATACATTTTAAATTGTAAGTTTTAATTTAAAACACTTAAATATATAAAAAAACTTATATATAACTTAGAGAAATATTTAATATTAAATAAATGCATTTTTTTATAAAATATGAATCTGAACTTTTATAAAATATTATTTTGTAATAAATATTCTATTATATGGATTCAAAAATTGTATGAAATTAAAAATTCAGTTGTACAATATTAAATATTCCGTATAATTAAATATTAAATTTTTATATGATTCAAATTGTGCGCTTGTATGAATGTATAAATTCAATAATATTATTGTCATAAAAAATAATTTTTATATCTTTTAATTTTTTAAAGATTTTAATAGTTTGAATAATTTTTGTAATTTTTTATAAGAATATATAGATAATATATAATATATAGATAAATATAATTTATAAAGATATTTGAGAATATAGAGTTTATAATTCGCAAAATTATTATATAATAAAAAAATCAATAGCTCATTATTATATATCATTATTATATATTTATAATAGTTATATTGGAAATTATAACTATAAATATACTAATGTAATTATTAAATAGATAAGTATATATAAAATCAATAAAATTTGTAAAAGAAATGCAAATATAAATAAGTCAATATATCACATTATAAGTTATCAAATATTCAAACTTTATTCTATCTATTTTCTTCATTTTTGAAGAATAAATTTTTTATAGATTTTCGTTGTTATAAGTACTTTAAACGTAAGTAAATAATAACTCATAAAAAAATGTAATATTTTTGTTATAATATTTGGCGTTTAAATAATGCTTCACTTTCTGGATTATCATCTTTATGTTTTTCAAGATTTCCTGATAAAGTTGGATCAGGTCGACGTCTTTTAAAGAATCCAAGTTTTCGAAGAACTAAAGTAAGTAAAATAAATAATAATAAACCTGCTACAACAGCTACTATAATTATCCATATTGGTACTGGTTCGACATCTTGATGATCAAGAATATCTGGATATACAATTGTCTCAGCCTATGTATTAAAATATAAGTTAAAATAAAAAGCCCATATATATATATATATATATATATATATATATATATATCATAAGTTAAAAATACTAATGAATATTATATATAATATATATATATAATAAATAATATATATATATATATATATATATATATAATAAAAATAAAACAATATAGTATACAACAATAATATATTAAATACAATAATATTAAAATACTTACAATTGCATAATCATCTTTTAAATTTTCTTGTTGTATTATGACATTTGGAGGAATAATTATTCTTGCATTAGAACCAATTTTTACTTTATCTACTTTTGGATAATCTTCTACAAGAGTAGAATTCCATAGTCTATTATAAATAAAAATATTAATAAAATTAATAAAACAATATAATAATAAAATATAAATTTATATATAATAAAATATAATATTTCTATCAAATGTTACCTTGCTTTAACAGTTATAATTGCTTCTTGTTTTCTTTGCAAATTGTATATAAAGCATGTAATATCAAAACATTTTGCCGTTCCTGCTTTACAATTCTATATTTATAAAAAATTATTAATTTTAATTTTGATACATGTTCATAATAATTTATTTTAAATTTCAAAAAATATATAAAATAATTACCATGGAAACTACTTGATGTCTATGACCATCCTTATCAATAATAGTTCGTGTATTAACAACTTTTTCTGTATCTCGCTTATTTCTCATACGAATTGTATGATTATGTGGTAATGTAAGTGAAGTAGATATTGCAGATTGAAATACATCTATATCATCATAACTAATACTGTCTTGTAATTTTAAAGGATTAACTATCTGTCCTGGTGGTAATATACATTCACCATCACCTGAAGCTATAAAATAAATATAATATATATCTATAATGTAAATTAAAATAAAAATGTTATATAAATAATATTGATATAAATAAGATTTTACCTTGAACAATTGGTATTTCTTCTAAATATAAAAGCCATTTACCATGTGCTTTATCATTTGCAACTTCATAAGGCCATGAAATGCGAACTTCTAAACTACTTACTCTCCATGGACCTTCATTAAATACTTCATACACATGTGATACTTTAGGTCCTACTTCATTTAAATGTTTAATAGCAGATTCACCTATAATTGGTCCACCATATACAGCCCACTGAATTTTTGCGCTTCTATAATTTTAATAATTTGTTTACAGTTAATAAATTATTAAATTATTAATTTTATAATATTTTGTTTTATAGAATTTTTTTATTTATTTATTTTATGAATTTAAAAAAATATTTATATATACCCTTTAATTGATAATTCTGCTTGTTTCAATATTGTTGCTTGTAATCTTATAGGTTCTTTTTCTTTTATTTCTTTTGAAGTGGAATTCGCAAATATTACAAATTCTAATTGTGATTTACTATCTTCTAATTCTTTAGGATCAAATCTTACTTGTATATTTACTAGTTTGTCTTTTTTAAAAGGATTTCCGATAGAGCAACTTACTGTACTTGTATTATATAAATTACAAATTACAGAATCATTACTTTTACTAGCAATATAATTTAAACTTTGTGAATGAAGAATGAATAATTGAGCTTCATATGCAGATTCCCCGATGTTGGATATGTTTACATCCACTACAACTTCTTCTTTTTCTCCCAAAAGAAGTTCATAGAAATTTGGTTTTACAGAAGAAGCTAATTAAAAATATATTTAAATTTAAAATAAAAATAAAATTAATATAATAAAAATAATAAAAATAAATTTAAATATTCGTAACTTTATATTTTTGATTATTTTAATTATTTATGATTTTTACTAAAATCATACCTGATAAATTTAATCGAGCTTTTACTTGTAAATCACTTTCGCAAATATCATTATTACCACAATCTTTTTGAAAGGTTGCTTCAAATACACGAGCAGCTTCCTGTTGATTTAATATAGGATAATTTTTTATATCAGGTAAAGGTTCTCCTTCAGATGGCATAACTGGTTCTTCTTGAATTAATGAATAATTTAAGCGAAATTTAATAGGTGATTGAATATCACGTGTATTTTCCTTAAAAAAAAATAAAACAATTTTTTAATTTAATTATTATTAATTATTTGATTTATTGTTTAATTATTTATAAAATATTTGTTATAAAATATTACCTTTAAGTAAATAATTTCTTTTTGACAATGTTCAAACTTTCTATCTAAATTGACAGTACGATTTACATAATGTAGTCGAGAATATCCAGCTCCAAACCAAATTCTAGAAAATTTTTTAATTCCAGTATAAGTTTCTGCTTCAATATAATAATTTAATTTTAAATTTTGCATATCTTCTTCTTTTACTAAAGATTCTGTTTTGCAACAAGCTTCAAATGAAAAACTACAAAAATATAATTAAAATTTTATAAATATAATATTGATGAAAATTTTATTTGTATTAAAAATTTATTAAATTATATTTACCATGTATGGTTTGAATAAGGATCTGCTAAACATCCAAATTTATTAGGATCTATGGGTTCTATTTTTTCTTGAAATGTACCATCTTTTTTTAAATAACGAATATAAGTAGTAATATCAATTATTTTTTTCGAACGAAGAAGTGCTACAGCATCATTTTCATAGGCTCCTACTAATAAATCAGAATATCCATTTTGATCCATATCAATCCCACCACTTAATGAATAACCAAATGTTTGTAATGGTTCTGGCATATCTTCTGCATGAATAATCTAAATTTAAATTTAAAAATTGTTAAATTATAACAACATAAAAAATATTATATAAACATAATAAATTTATTTTTTTATTTTATATCATATCATATTTTTTATATATTATATATTATATTTATTTTTTATATTATATTTTATATATTTTATATTATATAATTTTTTATATTTTTTATATAACATAACAATACCTGTGATGGTACTGTGATTATTCCATTTTTTGAACCAAGATATATATAAACTGTTCCTTTTTTTTCATATGGTGCTCCAATAGCAATATCTTCATATCCATCCTTATTTAAATCCCCCAAATTTGTTAAAGCAAATCCAAATCTATAATTTATTATTGCATATTTACAAATTTTAATTTATAAAAGAATTTTAATTTATAAATGGAAAATAATTATAATTTATTTATAAAATTTAAAAAAAATATATAAATTTAAAAAAAAACAACCTTGATTCTTCACGTCCAACAAGTTTAATAGATTTACTCTTTTCATATTCTTTGTAAGCTTTTTGTAATGTAGTATAGACATATACTGCACCTCCCTCTGCTTTATTAAAATAAAATGGGGCAGCTATAATAAGATCGCTAATTCTAAATGTAAAGAAATGAAAAGATAATTAATAATTTAAAAATTTAAAATAAATATATTTATTATATTTTTCAAAATTATAAAATTATTATACTTGTCTCCATTAACATCTGCAGAAGTAATTTCGTATCCAAAACTTGAAGCAAATTGTTCACCATCCAATATAAAAGCAACATCCATATCTGGCTTATTATCGCGTCGTGTAAGTAAAATAACTTGACCTGTACCGTTTGAACGTGGGGCTCCAGCAGCATAAGCTAATCCAGTACCAAAGAAATTACCCACAGTAACAGACATTCCTGTGAATTAATTAATATATTCCTTTATGTATTTTAACGAAATTATTAAATATTTTATTATCAAATTATTGTAATTTTATATTTACATTTATATGTAAATTTTCATATATAAAAAATATTTACCTAAATAACTATATTTACTAACAGGAGAAGAATCTTGCATTGGAGCATTATAAACTGTATTATCTCTATTTAAAAAATCATCTGAAATTGTAAAAAGATATAAAGTTCCTCTCCAAGTATGTGGACCAGGAGTACCAATAACAACACGATCCTCTGAAGTAAGTACACCACTAGTTCCTGCTTGACAATATCCAAACTGTTCATGTGCTCTATAATATCATCAAAATAAATTTTTATTAATTTTACTATATAATAACAGAAATATTTATATTAAATGAATTACTTGTTTGTAGGTTTTCCAGAACAAGGTTTTTTTAAATCTTGATATTTTAGATCTTGTGTCAATATATAACATTGTCCTTGACCCCATTGAGAATCTGCTGTTCTTACAATATGTCTATGAGCACAAACCTAGAAATTTATTATATTGAATAAAATTTTATATAATATAATATTATTAGATAAAGTATGATAAAATTCGTACCATTACTTTGCCACCAATGCCTTGACTACGTACTGTTACTCCCAACCACTGGTTATTTTTAATTTCGTCATTACCTGGTGGTATTAAGTCATCAGATTCAACATCTAAAAATTAGAAAATATTTTATTAAACAATTTATAATAATAATGGTAAAAGATTACATGATTATATATTATTTAATCAAATGTATTTACCATATAACATAAATATTTTTTGATCAAAAATGTTAAATATAAATTTATTTATTATTATAATATAATATATTTATAATATATATTATAATTATAATATATTTATTATATTTGTCTTTAATTAACTAAATTAATAATTTTTTAATTATTTATTATATTTTTAATTATTTAAAATATAATAAATATATATAAAATAATATAATAAAATATAAAAAAATATAATTATATGATAATTTTAAGAATAAAAAAAATAGTCCAGATAAATATTTGCATGTATTATAAAATTAATATATTTTAATTTTTTGAAAAAATAAAAAAATAAAAATAAAAGCTAAATAATATAAAACATTATTTATAAAATTTCATGCTAAATGAAGAATAGATCAGAATGATTATTAAAAAGCAAGAGGAAATATATCCATTTATAAATGAGAAAACAATTTTATTTTTTTATATCATACATAAATTATGTATAATGTTTATATTTTAATATGCATATATAAAAATATTCTATAGTTAGTGAGAATATGATTATAAATTTGAAAAAATAATTGTTAATAATGCATTAATATTATATAAAAAATATTTTTTTATAATATGTAATATATATAGATATTAAGATCTATATATACATTTATAGATTCTTTTAATATATACATGTACAAAAATGCAAGACAATAATTTTTATATTATAATTCAAAATGTCATGCTAATATAAAAGTGAGCATATCAATATAAATATACACACATAATCAAATAATTCATAAAAAGATTGCTCATTCAAATAAGACCATTCAATGACTTACTTGTGTCATATAGACTCCCTTCTGCTGCTCGTTAACCAACACATAATTTAACAAAAAAATAATCTTATTATACATATAATATAAAATAACATAAAATAAAGCAGAATAACATAATGATAACATCAAAGATAACATGCACAATTACTACATTAAAATCATATGTAAACATAATATGACACATATTATAACATAAAAATTGAATATATGTATATATATATTTAGTTTCATTAATAACAATTCTTTAAAATAAATTCCTTTTATTAATTATATGCTAATCAATTATATATTAAATATGTTATTATATATATTAAATTTTAATTTATATTAAAAAAAACATTAATATACATTTATTATTTATATTAATATACATTAATATAAAGTTAGTAAATATAATATAAAAAATAATATAAATATTTTAATATAACATAGAATTATATTTATAATTAATAAAATATAATTATAATTAAAAATATATCAAAATTTTTGTTAAAAATAAAAAATTTTTATTAAAACATACTTAATCGTCCATCTGTAATCACTTGAATGCAATCTGTTTTATATGTTGTCATAGGACATTGCCATAATGCACCAGATTTATTAGTTTTAGGTTGTCTGTTTTCATCTAAAGGAGCTCCAATTAACATCCTGTAACATATAATTTTTTAAATTTTTAATATAATTTTTTAATAATATAATAAAATATATTATAATATATATCAAAATAATCCTGACATAAGATATATATATATATATATTATAAATCTTTTAAAATGTATTTTTATATTTATGTAGCTTATGATATTATTATACCATACAGTGATAATGAATAAATTAAAATTAAAATAAGTAACAATTGTATAAATGAAATATTAATATTATAATACTATTCATATATATGTATTGTTATTATATTTTTTAATTGTTAGTTTTAATTGTAATAAAAAGAAATTATAAATATTAATATATACCAGCTTTTCGGTTTTTCTATACCATCGTGAGAAATTTCTTGATGTTCGGCTACAGAATAACCGAAATAAGAACCATTTAATCCTTTTTTAATAACAGGTATTCTTGGTTCTAAATTAAAGCTATATATTAAACATACGTCTAAAACGATTAAAATCAGTTGATAACATCTCATGTTTAATTAACTTTAAGCGCTTTTGTATATATAATTTGATAAATATAAAAAGTTACAAATGACTTTTTAAAATTCGTATAAATTTCTATTGTTAAAAATTATTTTTATATACTTTTCTTAATTTTATAATTAGAATAATAATCTACACTCTATAAACACACATGGAATCCACCCACATAATCTATATACTTTGTTTTTCTATGGCGACTAAAATATATTGTAATTTTATAAAGATAATATGAATTTATTAACGAGTTATATCGTAGTATATATGTTCATGATAAAAAAAAATATTATATTACGAAACAAGAATAACGGATATATTCATAATATAAAAATTTTCATATATCTAAATATAAAATCAGAATAATATAATAGTATAAAATGATAATATAGTATATATAGGATATATAAAATATAGAAAATATAGTTTACTATAGTTAATACATAATATATAACATATTATATATTATACATATATATAGTATAATATATATTAATATGTACAAATAAAATGTTATTTATATATATATTATATATAATATATTGAAAATTCGTTCTTCTGTGAAATATATTATCATTTATATAAATATCTTATCTAAATCTTTTTAAATTTTGAAATGTCTTTTATTTTCTTTTTTATATATTATTCAAAAAATAAGATTTAATTATACTTCAGTATATATATTGTTAATTTATTTGTATTAATTTGAATGAATTTTTAAAAGGGCATATATATTTTTATATAAATTTAATTTGATTTTATATTATTATATTTTATAATATTAATATGAATGTATAATTAAAATTAAATAGCATATATAAAATAAAATATTTCTCTAAATAATTTTATTTTTATAATTTATTTTAAATAATTCAAAAAAATAATAAAAAATTTTTTCGATTAATATATTTATTAAATTATTAATAAAATTAATAATTAAAAAAAAATGTATTTATATATTTTATATATCAAATATATTTAATAATAAAATATCTGTAACTGTGATGCTAAATATTATAATTATATTATAAATAGATTGTTAAATGTATGAAAGCGATCAAATAATATTTATGACACAAAGACATTTTAATATATAATAAAAATGCATTATTTTAAATACAAGAAATTTGTTATAACTTTTAATATTGTGAGAAATATGGGTAAAATATGAAGTTTTTATTTTTTTATAATTTTTAACCTACAATTCTATATTTCAGTATTAAAAAATAATATATTTTTAAAATAAAATTAATTTCTATAGAATACATGAATCATTTTTTAGCTACTCTTAAAAGATTTTATCGAAAAACAAATATATTATCAAGCAGTGGAAAGTATGAAATTACACTTGATCAAAGAAAACTCAAAACACCACAAGGAAAAATATTTCAAGTGGATAGTAAACCTTTGGCTTTAGCTATAGCAATTGAATGGGATATGCAGAAACAAATTATTGATAAAAGCAATATGCATTTGGTAAACTTATCTTTTTAAATTAAATATAAATAAAATGTAATTTAATAAACATGATTTAACATATTTGTATATTCAATTTGAAAGACAGCACTTTGTAATACTGTGATAGATAATCCTCACAATCATACAAAAGAAGACATGGTAAATTATATTGTAAGTTCTTTAGAAATGGATACATTATTATTTCATTCAAATGTAAGTATATTATGTATTTTATTTATATATACAATCTAAGATATTTATTAAATAAATAATAAATATATTGTTAGGAAAATGATGAATTACATAAATTACAAACTGAAAATTGGGATCCATTAGTACAATGGTTTTGTGATAATTATAGAGTAAACATGATAAAAACTCAAAGTATAGTAGCCCCTACTATATCTTCAGAAACTAAAATAATATTGACAAGACATTTAATGTCTTATAATTACAGTGCAGTTTATGGTAAATAATTTAATTATATATATTAATTTAATAATGTATAGAAATATTATGAATATTGTTATATTGTTTTATTCATAGGTTTTATGTATGGAGTAGATGCAATCAAATCTGTAATTCTTACACTAGCTACAGCAGAAAGAGTTATTAGTATAAAAGAAGCTGTAAAACAATCACGTTTGGAGGAAAATTATCAAGTATGTGAATCAATTTTTATATTCAAAAATTTATAACATAATGTAATATAATATTTTATAATCTGTTTCTTTTTTATTATTTTACTTTTTGATTGTAGATTTCTCATTGGGGATCTGTAGAATGGTTTCATGATCATAATAAGTATGATTTACAAGCTCGTTTAGCTGCAGCTATTTTATTTGTGCATTTGAATTCTTATTCTGTATCATATCAACCAAAACAAAATAATAAAAATTAATTGAATTCAATATAAAATTTAATTTCATATAATGTATTGAAATAAAATTAAACAATAACATAATATTTTTATTATTTTGAACTATGGCAAGAAATTGGATTAACAGAAGATAATGTTTCTATTGGTATAGAACAGTCAGATCCCATCCAGTCTTTTGTACAAATACAACTGAAATAATTAATTAATTAATATTTTATGTAATTATTAAAAATTGTATTAATTTTTAAAATTACTAAAATTGTATAAATAAGTCACCTATATGTTGCTCCATGATTTAAACATACTGCACCATTTTTACATAAATGATGAATGCATTCATTTCTGTGACATTCACCAATACCACGACCTGTTGCAGGGCTTGAATTGGTTATTGGATAAATAGTGGTTTTTGTACGTAGTTCAATGTCAAATATACAACCAGAAAATCCAGTATGAAGTGGTAAATCATGAGGTAAAGATTCAAAGTTTTTTGATTTGTGTCCACCTAATTTAATAAAAAATTTAAATTTTATTTTAATATATTAGAACTATAAATTGTTCATACAATAATGATTTAATAAGTATTACAAATAATATTTTATTTATAATATTTTAAATTATTCTTTGAATATAAATTTTTTTAAATAACATTAAATTATAAAAATACAAACCAATATAAAGTATTGGTGATACATCGAGTCGAGTCATAGATCCAGCCACTCGTCCAGTTACATTGCCTATGCCATCTACTGCAAGCCATGCATCTCGACCTCTTCTTCCAATTCGAATTGTATATGCTATATTTTTATTCATTGTTGCTCTTGTTGTAGTAATCAAAGGAACATTTGTAAATATTCTTCGTACACCTAATATTTTTAGAAAATATTTTCACAAAATTTCATTGAAAAAGTTTTAAAATATTTAAAATATTAAATTAAATTACTACCTGCTCCTAAATCCCATGTTAACATAATATAACCACGAACGTATGTTATGGAAAGATGATCTGATAAATCTTGATGAGATCCACTTTGTCCTAAATAAGCTATTAAAGATATTTGCTCATAAGTACGCGGTATAAATTTTAATTTCAATTCCATTGTATCTTTTATAGAATTTGAAATTCCATAAGCAACATATGATGAGAATCCAGGTACAAGTATCGAAAATGATGGTCGCATTATAACAGTATCTATAAGTTTAGGATAAAAAATAATTATTTTTTTTGTGAAATAAAATATATAATATATATTTAATATATATTACCTTTTTCACATAAAAGCCCATGAGTTCCAAGTGGACAAACGCAAACAAAACCTGTACCTGGTGAATTGATACAAGTTGCACCCAAAGCGCAAGGATTTTCATCACATGTTGAACGTTCACAAAAAAGACCGGTGTATCTATTTAATTAAGTAATATTTTATTTTATTGTTATGATGTGATTCTATTAATATTAAATTTTTGAAAATGAAAAATTGAATTATAAAAATATTTTACCCGGCTATACATCTACAATGCACAGTATTATTTATTTCGTTACATGCACCAAAATTTTGACATGGATTTGACAAGCATAGAAATGATATGCAATCTTCAATTTGAAATGTTTCAATTGAATCGTGAATAAAATGACGTGATATATCATTCACCTACATTAATAAAGTAAAATATAACTTTAAATTTTTTGAATGTTTCCAAAATATACATTGTTGTACATATATATATTAAAAAAAAACCTTTAGTGAATTCATGCAACCTGTAAATCCCATAGAGACATGGGCAAAATAATGGGAAAATACCAATGGTATACCACCTAAATGTAAATTAGCATGTCGTGGAAGATTTCCACGTAATGGTAAAATTTGTTCTCCATTAACTGCTGTTGTTCCATTTACTAATAAACGAGCTGAACATTTATTGGTTTCATTTTTCATGAAATATTCAAATCTATTTATATATATATATATATATATAAAATAAGAGAATATAATAAACAAATAAAATAAATAATATATTATTATATTTATATTATTTTACCTTGTATCTATGTCTGCTTCATATCCATTATTAATAGGCGAGTCTATTTCACCAAGTAACATAGTTTCAACTCCACAGGAAAATTGAAACTTTAAAGAACCATATTCTAAATATACCAAAGCATATTTTTCATCATCGAAATAAACATGTAATATAATACCATCTTTAAAATGCGTTCTAAGTCTTACAAAAATTTTTAACGTTGCATTATTATCGTTTGAAATTTCTACATCTACATATTGTCTTGCGTAAGATTTTCCATTAAATGCCGCGCGCATTATATTTGGATCAGTTTTACAATTTTTATGATACGAACAATTACACTAAAAATAATTTAAAAAACATTAATGTTTTTTATTATTATAATAATAAAAAAATTTATAATACTTGCATTATTATCGTTGCGTATAGGTGATACTGTGGAATTTGGACATAATATTCCATAACATTTAGGAATGATAGAATTTTCTGAAATTGTTACTGATTCATCTTTTGTTAAAAATTGTTCATCTTCTTTATTGGTAGTATTTATTTGATAGATTTCAAATGTTGGTTTTATAGAGTTATTAATTGTTGCAACTGAAGAAATATTATTAGTAAAAGTAGAACTACTAAATGTAGAACTTTCTGTACTTGAAGATTTTGATAGTTCTTTAGACGACCATTTATCTATTAATGAATAAGATGTAGTTTTTGGCACTTCTATTAGTGATATATTTGAATCCGAGCTTTTATTTTTCCAAAATTCCGTAAAATTTAAAAAAGATGTACTAGTGGAAAATGAAATATTATTAGTTTTAGTTTCTATCATTGTAGGTTCTTCTGTCGTCTTTTTAACAGCTTTAGTTACAATTGTATAATATCTATTGATAATAAAGTATAATGAAATTTTTATTTTTCTTCATTATATTTAGATAATTATTAATAAAATATACATCATTGTTACCTTGTACTTGAAATATATCCTATCGTATTTCCTTCTTCAGAAGATGATGTATCATTGATAAATTTAAATGTTCTACCATCATTCTCTTGATAAATAATTTCAGTTGTATTTGTTTCATTATGAATTAATTTGTGTGTCGAATATTCTGTCTCAATTTTTGACGTTGAAGTCGAATGAATTTCATTTGAAACATTAGGAAATGTTCGAGATTCTAACGAGACCATTTCAGTTTGAGATATCTCTTTACTTGTAACAGGATACATAGTCGAAATATCGGTAATAAATGGAGTACTTTCTACACTGCTTTTGCTAATGTTATTACTAGTATCGGTACTACTACTACTACTACTACTACTACTACTACTACTACTACTACTACTACTACTACTAGTAGTAGTAGTAGTACTACTACTAAAAAAATTAACACCATTTTTATAATTTGAGGTGGTTGTTTCTATAAAAGGGTACCATATTGAATAGAAATGATTGGTACTTTTAAAGGAAGTTGAAGGTTGCGTTTCTATGGAAGTACTCATTGACAATGATGTATCAATTTCTGGCAGTGCCGATGACTTTACAAGTAAAGTAAAAGCAGTACTTCTTTCTTCGTTATCAGTCTCAAATGTTTCTTCGAAAAACGAAGTAGTCGATAAAAAATCATAGATATTGCAAAATGGTCCACTATAAAATATTGGACAAACGCAAGTAAAACTGTTGATACCATCGATACAAGTACCTCCGTTCTCACAATTTGCAAATTTGGATTCACAATCATCATATTTTAATTCACATAATGCACCATGATAATCTGGTACACAATAACAAACATGACGTTCGTCCTCGAATAAGCATACTGCATTATTTTTGCAAGGATTTTCTTCGCAGGGTACAATCGCTTTATCGCAATCTTTACCTGTATATCCTTATGAAGAATTTTTAATATAATATTGAATTCAATAATAATTTAAACATATTTTAAGATAAATCATTTTCTAAATTATTAATAAGAATAAATAATTGTAACTTACCAAACAAACAAGCACAAGTATACGACGCAGGAATATTAATGCAAAGACCACCATTCTTACATGGCAATGTAATACATTCATCGATATCTTCATCACATAATCGACCTGTCCAACCTTTGAAGATTAATTTATTTAAATACTTAAATTGAAACATAGACTATTTAAATTATTTAAAAAAAAAAAGTCATACCTTCAGAACAACGACAAAAGAAAGAAAATCCAGGTCCTTCCATACATTCACCTCCATTTTTACATATTGTATTATTACAAACCGAAGCGTCAATTTCGCAATAATCTCCTAAAAAAGAAATAGTATTAGATGAAGTAGAGTAGAGTTAGATGAAGTATAAAAAAATTTAATTTTTACATATTAATTTTACCTGAATACCCATCAGGACATTGACAAGTAATACCATCGTAATCGAGACAAGTTCCGTTATTTAGACAGGGTTGATTCGAACATTCGCTATATTTTTGCTCGCAGTTTATACCTAAAAATATGTATAATACAATGAAATAATATTTTATTAGTATTGTAATCATATAAAAATATAATTTTCAGTTTTTTTTCCACTTAAATAAGTAGAAAAATAAGTACGCTATTTAATAATTCTCTCTGCTAATATGTCAAGAGATCATTTTCGCATGTGCTATGAAAAGTAAACGAAGGAATCGTGTGATTACCTACAAACCCTTCGGCACAAGTGCAGTTATAAGCAGCAACAGCATCGTTGCATGTTCCTCCGTTTAAACAAGGATTAGACCAACAATCATTCCAATTGATTTCGCAATTGATTCCAGTGTAACCATCGATACAGTAACAAGAATAAGTGCTGTATTATATGTACGAGACGAATAACTAATATATTAATTTTAAATACTTATATAAAATCATCTTTTTTATTCAATTTTTTCTTCTTTTAAACAATAATATAAAAATATAAAAAATAAAATAAAGAATGAAAATTTATTTATTTTGCGTTATAATAATTGATTTATATACCTGTTCATATCTTCTAAACATATTCCGTACATACAAGGATCTCCGCTACAATTCAGACCTCGTGAAAAACTGATCGTTAAGAGGAAAAATATTGCCAGAATAAAAGATTTTTCATTTATAAATTTTTCAATGTTCACCCTTTTATAATACATTTTGAATAAAAATAATAACTCTTATGTACATGTACGTTTGCTATAGATTATTACAAATTTTTATATGAAAAATATACTTATTGACTTATAGAATAAATTTCATAAAAAAAATTTTGATTTATGCGTGAGTATATGTATATGAAACAATATATTTACATATTATTATTTTGATAATTTAGAATTAATTAAAATTTTATTATATCTATTTTTATTTAAAAAATTAAAGTAACATGAACCGCAAATAATACGTCACTCGTCGGTTTATATGTACTTTTTCTCAATGATATTCGAATATGATACATGTATATGTAGATATACTTTAACTGCTATTTGTTATAGGTAGTTGACCACTTGGTAGTCTTAGCAACGGTAGTCTTAGTCTAGTACTATACAACAAACAATAATACTTATCGGTTACGCTTGCGTAAAATTTGCTTCATCAATAATAAATTTTATTCGATTTTAAAAATATTAATGTTTCGAATCGGTGTAATGTAACATTTAATTCGTCTAATAATACAATTGGAATACAATCAGTTTATTAATGAAAGATTAATTCCATTTCTATTTTTATGTCATATAAATAAAACTAAAGTAGTAAAAAATAAAAATATATAAGTAAAATTTTATAAATATGAATTTTATCATTTCATACTTTAATTTTTATGTTTTTTTTAATTGACAATTAAATATAACAACAATGAAGTAACGAATACTAAAATGCAAATATCAGATATGAGATTCCAACTCTATTTTTGACTAAAACTAAGCATACAGACAAACTATTTTCTTCATGTAATAATATCATTATTACATGAATAAAAATATTTTATGTAAATTTTAGTTAATAATTTAATTGATCCTTTCATATTTTAATTAATTGCCTTTATACAAAAATTAATGCAACATATAGATACATAGTATAAATATAATTGCATTATATAATCTGATGATTTTCTTAAGCATATATATACTCTGACAAAATTCTCTAAGATCAGTTGTTAGAATCTTATAAGTGATTTTCTTCAAAGTTATCATTATTGTTTAATATGAATATTCAGGATATAACAGAACCAAAAGAAGTGGAAAAAGTGTTCGTATCTCATTTGAAGGAGAATAAAATCTTCCAGGAACAACAACTATGGACTATTAATTATTCATCGCTGGGCGGTCGTGGTATATTCGCCACTCGAGACATTAAACAAAACGAATTGATCTTCATCGATGCACCTTTGATAATCGGGCCAAAGTGCTTAAATAAACAAACAAAAATGTGCATATGTTGTTACAAGAATGAATGTCCGCTGTTTCCATGTGATAAAGGTTGCGGTTTACCAGTTTGTTCTACTCAATGTGAGAATTCGCCGAACCATGAGAAGGAATGTGAATATCTAAGATCATTGATACCGATTTGCGGTACCGATTGGTGCTTGAATTTACTGTTAGCTATGATACCAATTCGTGGTCTTTTTATGACGAAAATGCAGCGTAAATGTTTGGCCACTCTTCAATATAATAAAAATTTATTTTCAAAATATGAGGTATAATTTATGTTAATAATTTATTTTAATTATATTTATTTTAATATTAATAATCATTTGAAAATAACATTTTTAATAAAAAGAAATTTTTTAAAAGAAAATTAACTTATATAAGCGCGATATGTATATTTGTTTTAATTGTTTGTTTAATTTAAAGAATAAAAGTTAAAGCCAAATTTAAAATTATTGAATTTGTTTTGTATTAATATATTCGTAATAATAAATATTAAAATTTATTTGAAGATTGATAGAAAAAAAAAATTGTGAAATATTATTTATGCAAATAATTCTTAAACTTTTAATACGATACTAATAATTTGATAATCATTATTGATATTAAAATTTTAATAAATAAAATTAATATTCAATAATAAAATTATATAAAATATTTTTTTTACATAATTTAACATTTTTATCTTTTATTATTATGAAATATATTTGTATGCGAAAAGATTGAATTGCTCAAGAAAAATGTGGTGAATTCTCCAAGCGACGAAGATATAGAAATGATGGAACGCATATGCAGAGCTTTTAACACAAATTCATTTGAAACGATTCGTGTTCATGACAAAGACCATTTTACAAATTTACGAGGTCTTTATTCTCTGGGTTCATTGCAAAACCATTGCTGTATACCGAATACAAGACATTATTTCGATGAAGAATTTCGATTATATGTTAGGGCTGCTCTTCCAATTTCTGCTGGAGAGGAGATCACTATGTCCTACACAAGTTTATTTTGGGATACAACATTGCGGCGGCAATTTCTGAACGTGACTAAAAATTTTTCTTGCATATGTAAAAGATGTAGTGATTCTACGGTAATTATATAGATATAATAATTACTTTTAATTTTATAAACATATTAATAATTGAAATATGAGAATATTTTTTAATTATATTAGGAATTTAATTCCAAATTAGGTGCACTTTTGTGTGCATCTGATAAATGTTCTGGAGAATTATTACCAAAAAATCCTCTTAATATGAGAACATCTTGGATTTGTAATAAATGTACCATAACAATAAATCATAGACAGGTATTTAAATATTTATTTAAATTATATTACAAATCATAAAATACATTTTATATATATTTTATTTGCTGTATAATTAATAATTTATTTCATACATCATATATAATTTATACTGTAATTAAGTTTTTATTAATTTATTATTGCTTTCTGTTTTAGAACTAATGCTAATTTAATAAATTTTTACAAATTTTAATTTTAGTTCCATTATTTATAAAATTTAGATTTTATAAATATTTTGTTTTTTACTTTTTATTATTAGATATGTTCGATTCGATCAGGTCTAGCTGCTATTATAAAGGAAATTATATATAAAACACCACGCGAGATCTTTAAGTTTTTACAAAAAGATCTTTCAATTATAGTTCCTCAGAGTAATTATCTTATCATGGATGTGAAATTTCGAATCATTTCATATTATGGCAGAAGTAACGATCTTCAATGGAAAGGTACGAATAATATACGAATGTATTTTATTCAAAATTTATTAATTTATACACTGTACGATACTTTTTTAAACATTATATTAGATTTAAGTGACACTGAGTTGAATATCAAGGCAAATTACTGCAATGATTTACTTTCTGTATTAGATACTTTAAACAGTGGTGATTCTACAAAAAAGGGTAAATATATTTAAAATAAAAATTATAATTATATATTATATTGTCTCATTTATTTTTATATATAGAATATTAAAAATTTTTATTTTTAATATTTTAGGTCTTATTTTATATGAATTATATTGCACAAATCTTGAAAAAATGAAACGATTCGAACAATCAGATATTCAAAAGGTAGATGAAAATTTTATTGCATATTTTTATTATTTATTTGTCGATAGTTTGATATATTTTATATATATTTTATTTTATATTGAATATCTTTTCAGATTGATGAAAATCAACATTTATTAAAAGAAGTAATTAATATATTGCAAAATGATGCTATTTTAGCTGTTAGATTCGAATACGATCAAAAATATTTTAAAAAATAAATTATCGTGTGCAAAAAAATAAAGAAAATATTATCGATAATATAAAATTTAGTTATAATTGTGTAATCAAAAAATTTAAAAGAATAAAAATAATATATAATCTTTAAAATCAAAAAATTATATAATATAATATTTAAAAAAATATTATTATATATTTTTCAAATATATCATTATTTGTAATATTCAATTGGAGTTATTATAATTTTGATAGAAAGAATATAAAAATTGAATAATAAGATATTTAATAATTAGACAATTATGGAAAATTAAAGAACTAGATATTAAGAAAAAGATATCAATTTAATCTCTTTTTACATTGCACCATAAATGGTTAAATTTGCAGCAGAAAATATCTAAATAGCTGAACTAGACTAGCAAGTAATAAAATGATGCACTTGTGCTCTATAATGTAATGCTCTGTTTTATAATATAATGTAGTAGCAAAGTGCAATTTTGAAAATCACGTCCTATAAATAAAAAAAATATTTCATACAGCTTGTTCTAATAAACATTTTGCTTCTTCATATAAAGCTGTACAAGGTCTTAAAACTTCTAAATCATAATCTACGTCCTCATCAATATTTACATTATTATTCCTGTAACATACATATATATGTGTGTTATTTATAATGATATTATTTATTATTATTTTGCTTTATTAAAAAATAATTTAACAATGTTTACCTATACAGAAAATCATCTACTATAGATAGCGTATCATTGTTTAAATCACGCAGCAAATGATTTCGTGTAAGTGCTGTATGCATAAATGCAATATTGTGAAGGAAAAATTCCGAACGATCTAAAAGTAAATATTATTTATTTAGTATGCCATTAAATAAATATATCATCATATTAAACAAATATGATTAAGATAATTTATATTAAATAAAAATGTATTAAACAACTAACCATCCTTTCCATATTTTTTTGTTAGTTTTTTCATTACATCTTCACCTGCATATTTTGCAGAAACACCAATTCTATGCAGAATTGCCTTGCATTGCCAACGATTTTCTGAATTTTGATTACATGATATAGATTTACGGGATTGCGTTTCCTTAACAAGACTCTCCCAATCAACTCCCAAAGCATCTCCCAAACCTTTACCACTCGTTTTAATGTCCTCTTCTAATTCACCATCAGAAATTTCTTCAAAGTCCATAGTTTCCATATTTTCATCTTCCATATTTCTATTTACATTTTAATCATTTATTAATATAATTTATATATATTTTAATATAATCTATATATATTCTATATATATTTTAATCATTTATTAATATAATCTATATATTCTATATATAGATTATTATATATAGAATATATATAATCTATATAAAATAAATAACAAACTTTAAAAACCTTAAAAGTTAAAAATACTACCTAAATGATATTGTGTCAGTATTATCTTTTCCTTTAGTATTAAAAACTGTTTCTTCTATAGTTTCTTTTGGAGATGAAAGATCTGTCTCTTGAGTTATTGGTTGACCATCTCGTTGTATAATATCGGGAATTCTTTTCGTTATTCTCGTTTTATTTATATCTATATCCTATAAATATTAATTTTAAAAATTTTAATATAGACTCTTAAAATCATAAAATGAATTCAATTAAATATTCAATCAAATAAATAAAACGTACTGTGATATCTTCCATATTTAATATATCATCTGGATCATCACTAATATCACTGAGATCACTCTCAGTATGAAGTGTTTGTAAAGATTCATCAATGCAAGTACGTTTTGAATCAGATGTAACAGTTTCTTTTATTTCAGATTTTTCTTTTAAGACAGTCTTTTTTTGAAAAGTATCTGTAGATTTTTCTCGAGTTATAGATAATTTACCTTCTGCTAATTCCATTAACTTTTTATTAATAGGTTCTTCTTTCATACTACCATATAAAGATGCTTGTTTAGAATTATGAACTGTACATTCATCTCTTGTTTCAGAACTATTATAAGTTCTCCTTTTACTAAAAGGAAATAAAAAATAATTTATATTTATAAAAATCATTGATTAAATAAATTAATAAAATTAACATACTTATGTGATGTGGATTCTGCTATTTCTAATTCTTTGGATCGATCATTTCTATAATGACTTCGAATATGCACTGATTGATTATCCCATTTTCGAGAATCGCTTGATTTCCAATCTGATACAGAATTATCATATCGAGAATTCCAGTCATCATCATGTACTTCTGATCGAGGAAGACTATCTCTATTATCCCATAATGCTCTTACTCGCCATTCTCTTTCTTCCCAATCAACGGGACCATAAGCTCGCTCTCGGTTATGTTCTACATCACGATGATGATTATCCCAATCATCATTAGGAACATTTTCATCTCTATGTAATAAAAAATAAAAAAAATATAATAAATATAATAAAAAGCAAATAAAGAATAAAAAATCTGCATTATTAATATTTTAAGTAATAATCTGCAGATTAATAGTAATAATGCAAATTATTATATATCTAGAATTAATTATTAATATACCTAATAGATGTGTTACTTCTTAATTTTTCTCCAGAATAAAGTGGATGTCTATGATGATGATGATGATGACGATGATCATCAAAGGAACTTCTATCAGTCGTTTGAACAACATATCTAGATTCTCGAGATCTTTCTTCACGAATTCCACGTCTTTCATCAAATGGACTTTCATATCTTCTTCCATCAACAGTTTTTCTTCTATCATCTTCATGAACATGGTGATCACGATAATCTAAATGTGAAGATGCTTCCTCCTGTTCATCCCAATGTTCTGATAAACGTCCGTAATTTCTATTATAATTTCTTTCGATTTCAATTGTTCGTCGCGGACTTTCCCGTCTTTCGATTAACCGATCAACTTTGGTTGGCGTAATACATGATTGATCATGCTCAGATGTATGATTTCGATCATATCTTGTGCTAAATCGTCTGTGTCTTTCACGATCATAATGTGTAACATCTATTCTATCAATTAAATTATCTCGCGAATTTGATAATGTAGGTGGAGCGGATGAAGATGATGAAGATGCTATAGAAGATTGAACGACTGGTAAAGAAGATGCTTGTGATAATGGTGGTACATTGTGTGTACCTTTATCAAGCAACGATGTTCTATCTAAAGATCTTTCTCGCGGAAAACGATCAACGCGATCTCTAGGTGAATTTACACCAGCTTTACGAGCTGATGTATCCTTATCTACAGTATTTCGATCATATCTATTATCAATACGCTGTGACGTTCTGTCTCTATCAGAAAGAGTTTTTGTTTCAGATCGTTCTCTTTCTCTATCGCTTCTACGTTCTCGAGTTCCATTTTTTTCAAAAATATTATCTTTCATTATTAATCGTTCTTTATCCCGACTATAACGTGTATTTTTATCCGCTGTTAAATTTATCGATGCTGAAACTAAAGATGGTACATCTCTATCTCTTGATTTAATTGATTCTTTTTCTCTATCACGATCACGATCTCGATCACGATCTCGATCTCGATCACGATCTCGATCTCTATCGCGATCACGATCTCGATCTCGATCTCTGTCTCGTTCGCGATCACGTTCTCGATCTCTATCTCGATCACGATCTCTTTCCCGTGGTCGTTCGCGACAACGTTCTTGTAAATCTTCTTTATCTTTATCACGACCATCACGTTGATCTCGAGCAAGTCTTGAATGCCCACGTTCATCTCTCGTGTGCTCTTTATCACGACGTTCTCTGCTCTTTTGTCGAGTTTTATCACCTAAATAAGTTTTATCGTCAAATTCTTTACCAATTCTTCTATGGCTTTCTTCTTGATTTGATATCTGTCTGGTTTTGCTATTTTGTTCATTTTTTCGTATATCTTCTCTGTCTTTAGTTTTATCGCTTTTATGTGATTCACGATCTTTCTTTTCTGTATCTCGAGATCTGTTTGTAGAAAGTTGTCTATCTTGAGTTTTTGAGGGCGTAAACTCTCGTTTAGATCTTGATGACTTTTCGGGTGTACGACTACGGCGAGTTTTAGCTGAAATCGTTTCTTTCGAGTGCTGATGTTTTGATCTTTCAGATGTTGGAGATGTTCTAGATCGTATATCTTTATCTTTACATTTTGCTTTTAATCTATCGTTTGTTTTAATTTTTTCATCTATTGCACGACTTTTTTCTTTATCCTGTTCTTTAATTTTATCAAAAGGTTTTTTAACACTATCTTTAGATAATTCATCTATATCACGTATTTTTTTATAATGTTTATCTTCTTTCTCCATATCTCTGCCTTTTACAATTTTTGGAGATTCACTTCTGTTTCTTTCTCTAACTTTATTGGATGTTCCATGATGAGGCACAGATACTGAAGAGCCTAATACTGAGGTTGTTGTTGATGTTACCGTTGTGGATACTTGTATTGTTGGAGATCTTGTACGAGGTGTAGAAGAATGTTTTTTTGATGCTGAAGATGAACTATATTTTTTTGCTGTTCTAACATTAATTTCCTTTTTTGTGGAATTACTTTCAAATTTACGTTTCTTCTTGACCGAGGATTTTTCATTTTTTGTTCCAAGTCTTTTTAATTTTAATCTGTAAAAATTTTTAAATAAAAAATATAAAAAAATTATATAGGTTTATATATTTAAATTTTAACCAAAATATTAAAACATAAATTATTGATTTGTAATTTTATATTAATATTTGTTATATATAAAAATATATAATATAATAATCTCAGAAATTTTAAATATTTTTATATATTAAATAAAATAAAATAATACTTAATAATGATATATAACTTACTTTCGTCTTCTTTCTTTATCTTCATCATAATCAGTAGATCCACTATGATGTCGCTTAGATTTAATTTTTTTTATTTTTTTACGTGAATCAGATGTTGAACTAGAAGATGAATCTTCACTACTAGAACTACTACTACTGCTAGATGTACTTGAAGTATGTGAACTAGAGGAAGAAGTCATAGCTTTTTTCTTTTGTCTTATTTTATCTTTTCCATGAACTTCTTTATCTTTCTTCATTTGTAATTCTAATTCACGCTGCAACAACTGTCTACGTCTTTCTAATACTTTTTCGTCTTCGTATTCCAAATCTGTTTGATTCCACTCTTCTAAATTTAAATCAGGACTATGTGATGCCTTTTTTACGATCTTAGAAGTAAGTCTTTTAAATGGATCTTCAATAAGCTATATATTAATAAATATATATAAATATAAATAGCTATCTTTAAATAAAATAATATAAATGAACAAATATTTTTCATTTTTTTTTTAATTAAATTTTTTATACAGAATTTGATGATATAAATTATATACTTACTCCAGTTGTACTTGCAATAGCATTATCCTTTTTGGCACGCTTGGATGGACTTATTAATGTGTGAGTATTTGCATATCTAATTGCAATATCAAGAAAAGAAAATGATGATCATCTTAAATAAAATCAATGATAATTCTTACTCTATGATTTGAATAATAAATTTGATATGTAATTGTATTCTCATTACTATAAAAAATATAAAACAAATACATATTTAATTTTTTATGCAAAATAAATTGATTTCAAATTATACTTGCTTGCAATTCTTTCCATATGAACAGCTGCCGTTTAGTGCCCAGTTTCTACAATAATCCGATGAATTTTGGCCGGCAGTAACTGCTGGTTTAGTCCCCAACCTCTCAAACACACTTGGTCGACGAGAGTCTGTATTACATTTCGTAGGGTCAACCGTTATCTTCCTTATGTTTGATTTTGACATATTATCACCATAAAACAATTATGTTTTCACAATGGAAGCACATAACTGCAGCATGCAAATATTCATTTGCTATGGAATCACCATTAATCAATTAAATATTCACAAATACAATCACGATTCTCAAAGAATTGATTTCCTTTGCATTTAAAAATTAAAAGCATTTGAAAACTAAAAAATATAAGTTTATTATATTCTATATAATTATTCTTTTTATAAATAACAATATCATAATATTTTCACTTAATTCATGTTACATATTTTTAAAAGGTAATTCCAGATATTTTTTACTATTACTTATAATTGAAGTATTAAACTATACAGAAAACAATAGTGCTAACTGAATGAAGTTATAAGTAATATATAATTCAATGTTACCAACTAACAATGATAAATATAGAAACTAATTCAAATATTATTAATATTTCGTTAGATATACAAAAAAAAAAAAATATTATAAGAATATAAAATAATTCGTATATGTTATAAAAATATTTTTATATATTATATTAAAAATGTAAAATATTATATATATATAATTTTCGAACCAATGAATTGTAACAGATTTTAGATTTTATTTTAATTATTAAAAAAAAATTATTATTAAAAAATTATTAAAAATAAATTTAAAAAAAGATCTAAAATTTATCGTATATCGAAATAAAATTTAAATATAATTAATAATAATTAAAATATATTATTAATTAGATAAATAAATTTATATAGTATGTTTTTAATGGGAACAAGATCTTTTCAATCTTAAACAAATATTTACAAAAGTTTAATTATATTAAATATAAAATAAATATTAATAAATAAAGAATATAATCTTTAAATTTAAAATTTTTATTAATATTTATCTTAAATTAATACAAAACTATAATAATTTTATTTATATTATAATATAAATTATTTATATAAAATATTATATATAAAATAATAAAAATATAAAATATTAATATTAAAAATATAAAATATAAATAAAATATAAAATATTATATATTTATTTAAAATAAAATATTTATATTATAATATAAACTAAAATGAAAGAAAATTTTAACAAATTATTAATAATTTTAATATCGTAATTATTTATAATATTTCTATATTTTTAATACTAATATATACATATATATATTTAATTATTAAAATATGTACATAATTCCGATTATCGCTTTAGTACCTTAAACGTTCTGTCACATTGAACATCGAAACGGTTAATTCATTCATATATATCTTTCTTCTATCTATTTAAAATTGAAATAGTAATGATTTTAATTTATGTATTTTTAACATTTTGTTCATTTTAATTACAATTTTAATTGAATATTAATTAAATAAAGTAATATTAATGTATAATTTATTTATACTTTTATATATTAATAATGTATAAATGTATTATTTTTAGTATAAAGAAAATATTTTAAGATAATAAATCTACAATTATTATTATATATCATTACTGTAATTATTACTGTAATGTTAATATAAATTTGTTATCTATTTGTTGATTTATTATCTAAATTTTTATTTAGGTTTTTTAAGAATGACTCATCAATGTAGTTGTGGAAGTATACATAATGATGAAGAATTGGGTATACAATATAATTTGTATCAAAAAATTGATATAGAAAACATAGAATGTTTAAATGAATGTGAAGAAGGTAGTGGGGCTACTGTATTTAAATCATGGGAAAATAGATTAGATAGAAATAAAGTAATTATCACAAAAAAAAGATTTTTAATATAAAAATTTTGTAAATTATATTATAATTATATTTATATGATATATTATATTATTTATATAATCTTTTTCAGTATGTTGAAAGTGATATGGATAATGAACTTCTCTTTAATATCCCGTATGTTTTTTACTTAGACATAGTTTTTAATAGAAGCACATTAGTAGAAATATTATTATTTCTTTTTCAGTTTTACTGGAAATATAAAATTAAAAGGCCTTATTATTATAGGAGGAGAAGATGATTTTCATCCAAATAAAGTAAAACTGTAAGTATTCTTAAATTTTTATATATAAAAATAGAATTTAACTTATAAAATAGAATTTAATTTATAAAAATGTAAAATATCTATGTTCTATAAATATTAAAAAAAAATTTTATTAATATAGGTATAAAAATAGACCACATATGACATTTGATGATATCAGCACAGAACCAGAACAAGAGTTTGAATTATGTGTAGATACAAATGGGATACATGAATATTCTCTTAAGTATACAATTATATCTAAACATTATATAAAATGTAAAGTGTAATTATATAAATATAATTTTTAATTTAGGATAGTTAAATTTTCATCAGTATATCATTTAAGTTTACACTTTATTGGTACTGAAAGAACAGATAAAATAAAAATTTATTATATTGGATTAAAAGGAGAATGGTCACCTGCACATCAACATGGTGTTACTATTTGTACTTATGAATTACGTCCACAAATGAATGATCATTCAAGAGGAGATCTTGAAAATATTGATAGAACAATTAGTTGATTTTATATTAAAAAGTTAATAGAATACTTCACTTTATATAAAAAAAGTAAAAAAAAATAAAAGTAATTCCAAAGATCAATAAGTATTTGTATTCAAATGAATGTTTATTTATTTATTTTATTTTAATTCAATCAATTTTATATGTTAATATTACATGTTATTATGTTAATATTATATGTTATATTTTTATTATACTAATAATACCATTTCTTAGTTATGAATAGGTATTAAAAAATTAATAATATTAATAAATCGAAAAATATCATAATAAAACTATATTTTTTTAATAAAGATTATATCGACAAATATATAAATATATATAAATAAATCAAATATTAATATTAAAAAATCAAATAAAGTAATATTATAATTAATATTAAAATTTTGTGAACTTTGATTAATATCTTATTTATCATTATCATATAATGAAAGAAAATTCTTGAAATTTTTAATAAAGAAAAAAAAGCTTATTTTAAAAATATAATTATTTGTTAAAAATTTATTATATTTAATATTATCTCTATATAATATAACAATAATTTTTGTATTGTTAAAAATAATTTCTAAGATTTCAATATCTTCTTTTCTTTTTCATTTTCTTCTACTATATTAATATTAATTTAAAACTTCGATACTCGATATCGCGAGTATAAATAACATTCAATTTTAACTCATGGCACATGCGATTATTAGCTTCTTAATTGAAGCAAATAGATAGAATAAAAAAAATGTCAATAAAGAAAATACTGCTTATATGAACTCAGTATTAACAAATATCAAAAACCACCAGACGGAGAATAGGGCTATGTAATAGTTGTAGCAGTTTTTTTAATTCAATAATCGGTAAGTGAATTTTTTTTTGTTTGATATATTTTGTTCAAATTTCATTTATAAGTTACAAAGGCATATTATCTATCTTTTTCTTTTTTCTTTCATTTCTTAATTTTATCGAATTTTATCTTCGAATTTAATTTTATTTTATGTTTCTAAAATATTTTTAATTTAATATATTTTTAACAATATATTTTTATAAAATACTTTTAAAGTACTTTTAAATTTATATTATACTTAAGGTATCTTGTAATATTTTTTATTTCAGTAAAAAACTAATATATACAATATTATACAATAACAATTATACAATAACTAATATTATATAATATAAATTAATAATATAATTATATTGCTATTTGTAATAACAATTTAATAAAAATATGTTTAATGTTAATTTATTTTTATTTATTTATTTATTCCTTCTTTTCGAATCATTTTATCATTATTATTATTATTATTATTATTTTATTCGTCACGTATATCGTCACATTTTGGGAAAATTAATCGAATAAATAATATCTTCATTAATTTTTAAACAAATAAAACATCTTACGATAAAACAAAAATAAAAGACGAAATCATTAATTTCAATCATGTTAATTTAACCTAATTAATTTTAAGAAATTTATTAAAGTTGATTTAATTTTTTATTTTATAAGAAATATTACAAAAAATCCCATACTTCACAATTCATTATTTATATATTATTAATTTTTCTAATTTATTCAATAATAATAATATTTAAAAAAAAAAAAACTTTTCTAATAATGAAAATGAATAAAAGCCAAGACTATTTTTTAATATTTAGTTCTTTTATTTCATATTTAAATTATTATTTCATATTTAAATTTTAAATTGTGAAAATATAATAAAAATTGAAAATTTTTTTCTCTTCTATAAGAATATATATTTTTTACAAAANAAAAAAAACCAATTGTAGTATATCTTTCTAGTTTTGAAACAAATTATAAAATATTATATAATTATTATTTTCCTTTTTTATATGAAACATAAAATATAATAGAGCATGATAAATCTTTAAATATTTATATTTTCTTAATATGATTGTTTATATAATATAAAATAATTAAAATTTTATATAAGATTATAATAAACAGAGATTGACAATTAATATATTGCAAGATTAAAAAGTTCCTAAAGTTTTATTGTATTATATGAAAAATAGAAAAGATATATTGAAAAAAATGATTTGATTGATTGCACAACATTTAAACACAATATATATAGTATATTTATATTTATATATGTATGTTTGTTTTGTATTATGTTTCTTTTTATTTTTTATTTATGATATATATATAAAAATAATATTTCTATTATATATAAACATATTCATTAAAATAGATTTCTATTTTAAATATTGTAAATTTAAAAATGATTACTATATCTACGAAAAGATTATAATATAATATATTAATTTAATATAATATAGTATTGGTAACAGGATCATCAATGTCAATAAATATAACAATTAAAATTATATTTAAAATAATTTTCATTCAAACAATTAGAATAGAAATGTTATATAACAAATTTCAATGAAAATGATTTCATTTTTAATATCCATAATCGAACTGCATTATTGTTCAATTATTTTCTCATTATTTATTATATATGTATATGAAAATAACACATACAAAGAAATATTGATGCATAATATTTTCACGATATATAAAATTAGAACATGATACAAAAAATATGTTTTCTAATGAGAATTATATTATACGATCTTTAAGGTGTAACTTTTTTATTTAAAATATAAATAAATATTTAAATATAAAAATTACAATATGCTTTTGCAATATATGTGTATATGTTTATTAAAGTATTGTTTATATTTATTGCATTTATGATTGGAAATAAAATAAAATACTTTTTAAAATAAAAAAAATACTTTTGCAAAGATATGAATATTAATAAAATTATCTTGACTAAATCAATTTAAATGAAAATTTAAATAAAATAAAATAAAATTCTATTTTTATTAAAAACAAATTTTTTTTTTTTATATAATGGATGACACGACATATTCGTTCAGTATTTTTTATTTAGAATTTTTGTATTATTTCGAGGAAGGAAAAGATGCAAGTACATGGATCGCATCAATATTAGTTGGTATCATTTTATCTTCAGATAAATTTTAATTATCTATGATAATAATTTTGGTTTCTCAAGAATATAATAAAAGATTTATTAAAAGTCCAATATTAGGTTGATTTGAATAAATTTGAATGCCAAATAGTAGCTATAGCTACCTCAATAATAGCAAGTATATGCTTAGTGACAAGTATGTGGCTCGAAATATTGACATTTTATTTTTCAATTGAAACAGATGACATGAATATTATTTTTATCGATTCATATCTTTTTATCAATATATATCATTTTAATATCTTTCAAATTATTAAACAAAATTGTTATAGAATAATAAATTCATAGGTTCAATGTTAGATTATATCCGATTTTCATTTTTAATTATAATGGATTCGCGCTATAATTTGCGAATTTTTACAATACAGAACGTATTGATGAAAATCTACTTTATATATTCCAGATTTTATAATTATATATTTTAATAAAATACGATATATATGCTCTCTGTTATATAAATTTAGAAACAATTATTAATATTACAGATTTATTTTAGGTTTTGATTGAATATATATTTAATTAATATATATTCTTATATGTATTATTATAAAAAATTTAATAATAATATAATTATATTGTATAATGAATTGTGTAAAATCGAACGAATATACAGAAATAAATGCAAGTATTTTTTATCGAACATATTATATTGAAATTGAATGTATTTAAAAATTATATTGAGCTGTTATTTTTTTAATATATTTAAACTAGCGATATAATATTATCTAAAATCTTTGAGTCAACCTGTTTTGGTTTCGAATAATATAACACAAAATAATTCAAAGAACATCTATAAAGAATAATAAGTAATTTTTTTGTATTTATGTATTTGATGTTAATAAAAAATATTAAATTTCTTCTCGTTAAAAAAAAAAAAAAAAAAAAAAATATAAAATTCTTTTAATATAATAATAATTATTTATAGTCCTAATTTAATACAAGAGCAGAGTGAAAAAGTCATATTTCATATTCATATTCATGAATTTTCTAAAAGTTTATCTAATAAAATAGAACTTATAAAATCAGATTATAAATGTGTTTCTCCATCTAATGTTTATAATAAAAGGAAAGTAAATAATTTAAAAAAAAATATAGATATTTCTATATTTAAAAATCTAATATTTATATTATTTCTTTTGCACCAGTATAAATATATATATATATATATATCAATATATATATTTATATTGATATATATACAAAATTTTATGAAGAAAGTTAATCCTTAATCTTTCAATAGTAAAAATTTTTTAATTCTAAATGATTTTATGGTATTTATAAGCTTATATAAAAACTTATTATAAATTTTATAATTTTCAAATAATTTATATTGAAAATGACTAATTATAATATTGTATATACATAGAAATTTAATAAAAATATTAATTATTCAGTTTCAAGCTGAAGAACAAGGAATTAATAAACAGAATGCAAGTTATCTTCTTGCAGTAATTGCTTGTTGGAATTGCTAATACAGTTGGTCGTATAATTATGGAATACATATCAGATAAGCAATGAGTTAATTAATTATTAATATATCTTAGTTTTTTTAATATGTGGTATTTGTAAGTATTATTCTTATATTTATAATTTAATGATAGTTTTTAATATTATTAATCAATATTATTATAAATTACAAAAATAATAAATATTATACTACCATTAAAATAATAAAATAATATCATTATTTATTATTATTTTAATTTTTAATTATTTTTAATTTAAATTTATTAAATTTATTTTTAATTTAGTTACAATTTTCAGTACATTTTGTGCTTCTTTCGCATCATTCACACTTTATTCTTTTACATTTGGATTTACATCTGGGGTTTATGCCAGTCTTACGTCAGTGATTTTAGTAGATTTATTAGGTTTAAATCAACTCACCAATGCATTTGTTCAACTTTTCTTATTTCAAGGTTTTGCTTCACTTTTAGAACCACTTATTGTAAGTGTATATACAATAATTATAGTTTTTAATATCATATAATTTCTTATAATTAATATTTTTATTTTTTAGGATGGACTTCAATCTTATGATCCTGGAATTTATCTGCAGGTGATATGATTATTGTTAGTGGATTGATATTATTTTTTATATCTATTATTAACAAAAAATTCAGAAAAAATAAATATTTAAAAAAATAAAATTCGTAATAAACAATTAATTTGTATAAAATATTTCTTTCATTTAGTTATTATTTGATTTTTTACTATCATATATATGTATGCAGGATATCTCAAAAATGTGAAAATATCGGTTAATTCGAAATTTTAATTGAAGAAGCTAATTTCAAGCATTTTTCTTTTCAAAAACTTTCTTTTGTTAATAAGTTATTAACAAAAAACATCATGATCAATCTGATCAATCTTGAAATCAATATCTCAAAAATTTTCATCTTCCCATATTTTTAACATATCTCTTGTGTATATATATTTTTTATTTATATATATACTTTTTTAATTATAAAAAATTTATATAAAATAAATTATTATTTGATTTATATTAAATATATTAAATAGATATAATAAAAAATATTTAATAAAATTAGATTTGATAGATTTAAACTTTTTATTATTTATTAAATACAAATTTTATAAAATATTTGACACTTCATTTTATTAAATTTTGAAGTATATATATTACATCATTTTTTGCATATTCACCCAAATATTCACGTATTGTTTTCACTGTTTCAAGTCTTAAATTAATATTGCAATTTATTAAATGCTTTATTATCTGAAAGAATAATAAAATTTTAACTATTTATTTTTAAAATTATTTAAATTATTATTTAAAATTATTAATATTAATTATTTCTATAATTACATTTTATTTTTCTAATAATTTAAAATTATTTTTACCTTTCTCTGTCTTACTCATAACAATATACACAAGTACATGTTACTTTAATTTATTACAAATAAAAATAATTAAAAAAAATAATTAATATATATAAAAATTCTATATTGAATTTTAATTTTATACCTTCGTCATCCATATTTTTTGTGATGGAAAATCAATCATAAATTCATGTAATTGCTTATCCATAGATACAAATATTGTGTAAGGTGATTTATTGTTTAATATAAGTGTTGAATTTGAATTTATATTTTCCACTACATTACAACTAATATATAAAAAATTTAATACATCATTTTTAAAAATTGCAGAAAATCTAAGATCAGGAGCAATTATTTTATAAAAATATTCACCTTCAAAATATTGCACTATAATAAAAAATTATATATATTGTTAAATATATATATTGTTCATATATATACATATTTGTTAAATTTTTCACTCACTATATCCAGCAGCTTCTGCTATTTTTCTCTTTTTCAATAAAAATAATACATAAGAATTATTAATTATGATTTCACTTATTTTATGTTTCATTAATAGTCTTCTTATATAGATTACTTCTCCATATATAAATGGTAAAACATAATCAGTAATTGTATCAATACAAGGCGATATATTAAAATCATTGTTCATAATATAAAGAATATTTAAAATACCTAAAAACATATTTTTTTATTAAAAAAAAAATATATTTTTATTCATATTATGTGTAAATGTATAATATATAATAATAAAATATTTCATATATTTAAATATAAAATGCATACCTTGTACATTATATTTATTTGCTTGCCTAATTAAAAGTGGCCAAAAGTAATGTGGGCGTAATAAACAATGTTCTTTACATATTTTGAGCAAAAGAAGAGACAAATTGTCATTTTTCTTTAATGAATAATATAATGATATTAAAAAATATTTTTTGGATATCTCTTTATTTCCCGTAAAATTACAAAACAAAATAATATCTTTAATTAGCTATAATAATAAATATATTTAAATATGTTTAATAAAAAATAAAATATAAAATATATATATATATTCTATATGCATATTCTTTTTACCATTTTAGTATTAATTATATGTTTTAAAATTAATCTCAGAATATTTTCAAATTGGGGATGCTCATTATTTAAACCTATATTTGAAAGTGCCTTTATAGCTATATTCATGTAATTAATATTTATTATTTTTAATATGATTTCTATTTCATTATTTGAAATAATCTTATTTTTTCTTAGATACTTATACATCTAATAAAAATGATTAAATTATTAAATCATTGTGATATACATTAATAATAATTTACTATATAATTCATTAAATTCTTACAGTATCAATATCTTCAGTGTGATTATTTTTTGCTAATATATAAATTATTTCCAAAATATTTATATTATTAAAATATATGTTATTTAAATTACAATCTTTAATTATTTCTTTTATTTTAACAATATTATTTAATTTAGCATAAGTATACATAATAATAGCATATGTTTCATTAGTTACAATTAATTTATATTTTTTCATCATATTTAGAATATTATTTACACTTTTTATATCTCTGAAAAATATTAATATTATAATATTAATATTAATTATAATAAATATGTAAATTTAAATGTTTATTTAAAAAAATATTATATTGATATATATAAAAAACAATATTTACTTAATTAATTAAATGTATATATATTTACCCAGATTGAGAATATCCTAACATTAATAAATCAAAAATGGATTTTGATATAGAAAACTTTAACTTTCTCATATCATGTAAAAGCATTAGTGTTTTATTAATATTTCCTTTCATACAATAATATTTAATACATATTTCATATGTATTCTCATTTGGATAAATTTTTTTATATTTCATGTCTTCTAATAAGTTTATAATTGAGAAATTATGTTCATTTTCTATATATAATTTTAAAAGTATATTATAATGGACTATTGATATCTTGAAATCTTTGAATCCAATATAAAAAAATATATTAAATTTTATTTTTATCTTATATTACATATTTTAATATTATATTAATTTTATAAAATTACTAATAATATATTGAAAACATACTGCATACAGTTAAAATTATCCATAAAGATTCTGCAAGTTTTATTCTGTCTATTGGTAAACAAGTTACATTATTACACCAGTTAAGTAATAAAAGTAATTTATTTGTATCTATGACATCTATAATAAACAACAGAAATATTCTTCTATATATCAATATTATATATCAATATTATAATATTATATATATAATGACTTACTTGATGAATCTATAAGATCTATAATACTTATCATTTCTTTTTTTGGTATACAATTGTTTACTTCTACTTGTTTATATATATTTTTAAATTTATCACTTATCAAATTTTTTTTTTCATTTTCTTCAATTTGTGATATAAATATCATATTCCTATTAATGTATAACTGTTTATAAATTATATTAATAAAAATATAATAAATTTAAAAAACTAACCTTATTATCATGTTAAATGTTTTGCTATATTGTTGAATAAAAAAGTTTGTCATTTTTTGGTTTTCAATGAATATTTTAAATTTTAAATGATTTTTAAAATGATTTATACATTGTAATAAAATACCTGACATGATAATTTAAAATTATTTAATAAAAATAATATAGCGTTTTTCGAAGTATATTTTGTATTACCTAACCTTACAATCACAATCATTCACAATCAAACATATATATATTATTAAAAATGTAATTATTTAAATTTTAAAATTTATCATCATTTAAATTTTTAAATTTGTCATTATAGAATCAATGATAAATTTAACATTAATCATTTATTAGCAGCATATAAAAGTTACAAAACATTACAAAAAATACAATAAACACTTACTTTTAATTAAGATACAATAGATTCATCTTATTAAATGTAACATATTAAATTTAATATTTAATATATTATATATTTGTGATATATTAAAATATTAGATATTAGATATACATCCAAAAATATATTTTAAAATTAAATTCCTTATTTACTTCTTATAATTTTATACAAGAATTATAAAAATTTCATTAGTATTATAAATAAAAAATTCGGAATTGACATTTAGTTTTATACATAAAAATATAGAATGTAATTTCAGAAAATATATGGATATTAGAAAATAAATATAATATAATGAAAAATTATTATTAATGCAAGACTGATGCATAAAATAAAATGTTTAATATAACCAGTTAATATAACCTAATGTTAAATAAAATTATAAACCGATATATCATGTTATATTTTTTTTATATTGAACTTTAAAATACCTTTTAAGATTGCTTTCATTATATTAGAAATTATCTAAAATATTATCTTAAATTCACAAAAGTGAAATAGTTTTCACATTTTACATTAAAATATTACAGTAAATACTTTGCTATATTAAAAGTTTCATTTTTGTATAATATTAACATTAAATTTTAATTATTTTACAAAAATTCTTCACACCAATCAGAGAGGCACTGATAACAATCACTAGACTGTTTTGCATTGGCAGAACATGCATCCTTCATCCATTCTTGAAATAATTCTCTATTCTTTTTTAAAACCAAATATTGCCCAAGAACAACATATGCCTATAAATAATAAATATTAATATATTAATTTCTATGTTTAAATATAAATATGAATGGATTTTATAATTTCTTATTACTTTATTTATACAAAAAATATTAGTTGTTCAATATTGATTAAATAAATTATATTGAATAAATAAATTATATTAGTTTTATCATCTTTATATATTTTCAATAATTTATTTTCAAAAATTTGTATAAATTTTACATTTATTTCATAATAAGTAATGAATGAAAATAATAAATAAAAAAAAATATTAGTAAAATATAAATTATATTAAATTATATTATTAGATAAAAATGTATTATACTTTATCAAAACCAGCTGCTTCTAATCTACGTCCTAAAACTTCTCCAACTCCAGCAAGATCTGTAACAGGTTTATCACCCATTGGTTCAGCCACAAAGTTTTTATGTTTTTGTGATGTGCTGGACATGTTTCTAGAAATAAAAATAAATTTTTTCTTAAATAAATAATAATAATATTGCATAATACATATTTATTTCTATATTAAAAAAAAATATGAAGACTAAACAAAAGTAATATAAGATAGAAATAATTTTTTATTTCATTAAAACTTTATACATTTATTTATACACTTTTATTTATTATTTATTTAAAAGTATTTATACACTTTTAAATATAATAAATAAATTATATACGTAATATAAATTTCTGTAAAATACGTACATATCAAAATTCGTTTTTCATCAAATAAATTTAAATTATTTCTAACACAATCACTGTATAAAACTATTTTTTTTTATATATTGCAAATTTATAATAATTTAAATATTAAAATTTCAATTTATTAATTGTTCACTTTAAGATTATAATGAACTTTCTCGTTGAAAAATACACCTTTAAAAATTACTTAAATATAACACTATCAAACTTACATGTACAACATAAATTTATATAAAGTTATAGATTGGAAACTCATATAATTTTAAATATAATTTTATATACATAAAGTCTAATTTCTATGTCTAACAATTTTATTTTCCTAATATATTTTACGCTAGTAAAAATAATTAAAATTATTAGAAAATATAAGAAAAATATAAGAAGTTAAAATATTATTCAAATTTAAATATGAAAATATGTATTTATAAAACATTAAAAATATATATATTCTAAATTTATTACAAAAACTTAATTCTTAATATAAAAAAACAAATAAAATTATTACATATTATATTATGCGATATATATATCATATATATTGTATGTATTATAATTAAAAATCATATTGTATTATAATGGAAAAGTTTGATAAGAAATAGAAATATTACAAATAAATTTTAGATATATTTTAATACAATTTAGAATGTTTTAAAAAATAATATAATTTTTTTATTATAAAATTATATTATAATTTTGAAAAATGAGTCAAATTTATCAAATTATAGCTTCATACAGTTTATAAATTTGATATATCTCAGAGTAAAGTGTCGACACCATCGGTGTGTTTATAAGCAGAAAGCGTTTCGTTTCTTGTCTATTCGTTTACGAAATTGGGTTATCGTTGAAAAGATGGAGCGGTCAATATGTGAAATATTACAAATAGAAATATATATTAGTATTAAAACAATTTAAATTTTATTTTAATTTATCATAGTGATGCTGTAAAATTTAAATTTATATGATTATTTGTAAAACTATCTAAAAAAATTGCAATTTTTGACATATACTGTGCTCCAATCACGGAAGAACCATTATGTTGTGTCAACGTAATCGACGGCAGCACTGACGCCTCTTCAGTAATTAACCAAACAAAATGGACACCAAGATAACGATTAAGCGAACATTCGTGCAGTAGATTTACATGGAATATCCAGAAGAATGGGATTAACGTGTATGCTACAGTGAGTTTTATTTAATTATTGTTAAAAGTTGATCTTTTATAATTGGTCTTCTACTAAGTTTATACAAATTGCATATACGTTTAATTAATTTAACAATATTGAAACTTAATTTTGACACTTCAATCTAGGATAAAATTTTGCGATATTATATTATTTTCATAGATATTCAGTATACGAAATAAAAATATAATATCTTTTTAATATTTAATATTTCTCATTGATCTCTTTGAAGTTTTATATTATAGTTATTTATAAGTGCTGTTTTTTATTTTTATAAAAAAATAATATGATTTCTAAATATTTCATTTCGTATTTTATATTTCATAAATTGTATTTCAATTGTACATTGTACAAATATTTAAATCATAATTAATCTAATTATATTTTACATAATATTTACTTATAATATATATTATTTTATATTATCTTTTTTTGTAAGTAAAAATAGAAAATAATAAAATGCTCAATTATTATGTAGTATATAATACAGTATAATTATATATGTAATTATTAAATATTATTAAGATTATATATGAAATCTTTCTTTTTAATACATTTATATTAATTTTTTGAATTATAGTTTATATTAAATAATTAATAATTTAATCACATCATTAAAAATCTTTTGAAATTGAAAATGAAACAATTTTTTTTTAAATAATAATCTTGAAATTAAAAAATTAATTTTCTATCTATGCATTATAAGGTAAGCATAAGGTTATCTTTTATATATTTTCAATAATATTTTATCAATATAAATAATTTATATACATATCATGGTCAAAATATTAAAAAAACTTTATATATAATTTTTTTATTAAATTTTTCAATTTTTAATTTTTAAAAATGGTACAAATCAATAATTATAATATTTATTATGATTTGTTAAAAATAAAAAATATATATACATTATAAATATATATATATATATTAAAAAACAAAAATAAAAAACTAAAAATTTGAATTTATTTTTCTATAATATTCATTATTAAATTCTATAATGAAATTCATTATTAATCAATTATGTAATTTCATTTTTTTATTATTGAATTTTTTTATCGTATACATATTTATATTAAATTGATAAAAAATTAAATATAATATAATAGTAGATAAAATTATAATTTATTAAAAATATATATACTTATGCATTCAAGTTAATACCTAAAAGACAGGATTGGTTAATCAAATATCCTGCCCTGGTATCCTACTTTATAAGGTAAAATCTGATTGGTTCTCTTTGTGGTATAATTCGGACTCCGCCTTACTACCGCCAATTGCGTTGTGTGTTTTTACCATGATATCAAATACTTACTTTATGTGCTAGGAGTGTAATTCTTGGAAGGTTGCAGCGTTCAATCTCTTTTCTTCTTCATTGTTTTCTGTTTCATTCAATGAATATATATTCGCACAACATTATACTTATACGTATTCATATGCACACATATTCATACTCTATAGCATATATAGAGTGTTATGTATATATTCATGTACACAATGCGTAAATTTTATTGTACTTAATATTTAAAGATAAAAATACAATAGATGTTTTTCTTTTTTTGTAAAAACTTAAAATACAATTATTTTTTAAATGTAAATAAAAAAATATATTTTATTATTATATTTTTTATTTATTTATATTTTATTCTTCATGTAATTTATTTATATTAATTATTTATTTATATTTTATTTATATTAATTCAAATGTAACTGTAAATATAATTTTGAAAATATTTATAATTTTCATTGAATTTTTTTAAATTTATTTTTGTGTATTTTATAATTATAAATTAATTTATAATATCAAAATATTTCTGAGTCTTTAGAATTTTTTTTATAATAAAGAAAAAAATATTTATATAAAAAAATATATATATTATATTCATATAATAATTTTATTAAGATTTCTTTAATAAAAAATTAAAAAGATTAATAATTTACAATAAGAATCATATAAAAATATATATAACTAATATTTTTTTTAAAGATTTTTTTAAATTAATTCAATTTTTATTAGATTTAATATAAATATGTAAAATTTAGTTAAAATATTAGTCAAATAAATAAAAATTAGTTAAATAGTTAAAAATTAGTTAAATTAGTTAAAAAAAATTAGTTAAATAGATAAAATATTAGTTAAATAAAATTATTAAATATTTTGAATTTAATTTAATTTTTCATTTGTTTTATAAATTGTTCATATTTCAATTGTTATTACATTATTATATATAATATATATTAATTTAATCTATTAATTTCTGATAATTTTATTATTTATCATATATAAGTATTTTAATTTAAAATATTGGAAAAATAACAAATATTTTGAAATTATTAAAAAATTATATTTTATTTATAAAAATAAAAAAAAAATTATTACATAATAAAAAAATTACAACAATAATTATTTAGTTGTTTAATATTTAATTATTACAAAAATACTATAACATAAAAAAGATCTGTTATTTAATTATTTTACATTCTAATTTATGTATGTTTTTGTCATACATGTTTTCTTTTTTTCATTATTTCATTATTTCATTAATATTCTCTTCTATTAATAATAAATTGAAAAGATATAAAAATATTTATATTAAAATATAAATATAATTAATGTTAGATATTGCACACGTTTATATTTATTTAATATATTATCAATTTTATTACTTTTATAATGTAATTTTTTTTTAGAATGATAAATTAAAAATTTATCTAATTTAAATATAATACATTTCTTTTTTTCATATATATCACATATGCGTGTGCACGGAGGTTTTTAAGTGGCAAAGAGAGATGCGCGCGCCACCAGGTGGTGCAGTGAGTGAGTGTGCGCGCATGACGTGAAAGGTAGCTGTATAAGTTTCTACAGATGTTACGATTTCTAACTAGTGTGTGTAATGGTCTCCATCGTACAGGACAGGACAGGATGGGATAGGGTAGGATAAGAGAGAAGAGTAGTCCTTCGTTGTGAACTGTACTGAAGGAAAAAAGAGGGGAGGGGGCAGAGATATGTAGAATGATTTGGACCTATAGACACGCTTGCACCTCGACGGTTCGCGCCGCAGCCGCAGCCGCAGCCACCGTCGGTGAAATTCTTATATACGCGCGCGCAAACAAGGGTGGTTTTTCGATAAAACATGAACATATAACTACATCTATTGAATAATATAAATTTTGGGTCACGTTTATACAAAATATACAAAGGAAAAGTGAATTATGTGAAGTGAAGTGACGCTTTGGTGCTTGAATATCGAGCGTCGCGGTGGCCGCTACGAGTTCTCTTGGAAGTCCAAACGGAAATCTCTCACGATAATGGCGTACTTTCCGACGATCCGTGCTTTTTTTTCACAAAGTCGCTTCGATTGCTTTTAGGATTATAGTATACTCGTATTTTATTCTCCGTGTGCTTATTCTATAGATTTAGAGAGAAATTTTCGAGAATAAAAGACGCCTATAATAAAGTGTGAGAACTTTCTATACCTATTTTACGGTTTCTTCTGTTCACCCTTGTAATAATACTTAATGTGAGCATTTTAGTTCATATTTTAATAATAGTAAGAACTTTTTTTTATGTATTTTAGTACCTCTGTCAGTACTTCAGGTTTGTAAAGTGTTTTTTAATTTGTTTTTTTATTTTATGTTTATATGTATTCATCGACATTTAAAAATATTATATTTTAATTTGACTAGTAACGTGCAACAATACCATATTGTTGCTTTTAAAAAAATGTTTATTTTAATGTTTATAATGATTAAAAGTAAGCTTGAATTTTTATAGTCTTTTTCAAGTAATTCTAGAATTTTTTAATAAAGAATTAAATAAATTTTTTCTTATAAATTATATTAATTTTTTAAATTATTTTTTTTTAATTATTTTATTTTAT